TCGTTTCTTCGTATCTATATTTATCAGGTTTGCGAATGACTCAATTTCCTGTTTGAATTTCTTTTCGGGATGCCATCAAGTAGGTGATAATTGGAAATGAGTATTTTAAAACACTTGTTAATTGCACTTTGATTTGAGATCCAGCGGAAGTTAATACCACTAAACTGGAATGATAAACGCTGACATTAATTGCCTCACAATCGTGGAGCACTCAAAAGCTAAGTGACTAAGTAAGGTATACGGATGAAGAAAACATGTCCTTATCTGAGATAAGACAACTAGACTTAAGATCCGCCTTTACTTTAACGTGGTTGTCTTGAAAGACTTGGTAATTGTTATCATTTGATCTGAAATCTGCATCCGTCTTCCTTTGTATGAAAAAATTAACTACAATTTTGGAGCTTCATCTTACAACAGGACTAGTTAATGTAAGATTTAGATCCAACGAAAACATACTTTTTCATTGTTCCTTATCTTGATTTGTCAGGTCGGTAATTGATAGAGGCAGCACATCTGGCGCCCTTTTCGGAATGCACACGTTTTTTGTATTGAAATCGGCCCGCTGCTTTTACACGATGAAGATTTCCGCCATCTACGAACGGAAGCGTGTTTCATTGTAGGAGAATCTGGTGCAAAAGACTTAAATATAATCTCTTAAACTCTTTGATTTCTTAACAGACAAAGGCCATAGACTTCTTTTATCTTTGTCGCCACACAATCAGAGTTATGAGTCGACTTAGAAGGAAAGTTACAATTTTTCTGTCCACACGTACCTTCATGCACTCAGTGATGCCGGAGTAATAAATTACACAATTTTAACTTCCCCAAGTACTATCTCAGGGTCTGAATAAGGTGGCAACAAGTACATGAACATGTCAGCCGGGTTCGTTTATAAGTAAGTTGATCAGAACTCGAACAACTCTGGCAATCATGACTAAAAGTTTTCTTTTAAAGGTCTCAATATATGTTCTCATTGTTTATGTCTTTCTAAATTCATACCTCCCGAATGATATGTCACGAAAAGAGTGGCCCTTGTTGACCACTGTGGGTATCCAGTGAGGTCAACATAAGTTACCGGTAAATTAGCTTTGAGCCGGAAATAAAAAAAAACTTAAAGGCGATCGTAGACCAAGAATTATGGAGAATGCCCAGAAAATATGTACAAGGTAAAGGCTACGGTATCATTTTCTTCTCTCGAGTCTCTGCTTTATTTTTCCCAAGTTTTCATTTGATACATGAACTTCGAAGTCAAAATTCAGTGGACATAGATTTTGGCTATCGACGCAAAGATTGACCCTTACCAAGGCAAAAAAAATCCAATTATTTTCATTTGTCCTAACAAACTGTAAAATGCATCATAGTTTCTGGAGAATTGTTCCCAATGACCGTCAAAAGGAAATCCATTTCAAACGAAATTTCTTTCACTTGATTTTAAAGAATCATCAAATCTGACAGAAATTCTTAAAAAACAAGGTGAGCTCCTTTCATTAAAAACCACTGAGTGGAGTCGAAAACGCAAACGAAGATCATTTGCATCTCGGTGTATAAGCGTCAAAACGTTTGTCCAATACTAATAAGTTCGCTAAGCTTTTAAAATGTCATTTAAAAAGTAAAAACCAAACGTTTTCGACATTAGGCCACCATCAGGGTACACATTATAACGTTTGTTCTGAGTATATTGACTGGCACCTTTGATACACCTCTTGACTGCAAGAGATATCCAGCACCCTTCATGCAGACATGTGGGTCATCCCAAACGAACACACACCACATCTCTGTCCAACGAATTCTATTCAAAATTGTGTAAACGAGGGTTCTCGATAACTTTAATCGAACCGAGAAAATAGGTTTTGAACTGCGCCGTATTTATTTTCAATTTGGTTGGCTAGAATTTACGCACAGCATGGACGGTAAAAGCACGGCATCTATGATTTTGGTAAAAGTACAATCTGCTTACAATGATGATAACTGGAATTACAAACCATCAAATGTTTTCGCTTGCCTGCAATTGGTCGAAACGCATCACATGATCGAAAATACCCAAGCTAAAAATGGGGAGTCTACCAAGAAAGAAGCGTTCGTTTAAAGTTTAACTCAAGATGAAATAACGTCTAGCTATTGTCACAGATGAAGGAATATGTTTGTTTGTTCATAAAGTCGTACCAAAGGACACTGAAAGGTCTCCCACGCAGCAAAGAGTAAGCTATTAGTAACATTTTCCCGCTCGTTACAAAAATATTTGAGGGATAACAAACACACTAGCCTCCATTTGGCGCAAAAATATCATCTTGTATTTATCCTTGGACATTATCCGTTCTTTGAAGCTCGCAATTTTCCTCGAGGTTCGCTCTCGGAAAACCTGCCGTTCGCATCTCTAAACAGAAAACGTCCGTAAACAAATATAACTTTCCGGGGTAAAAACTCGCTTTTGAATTTCTTCAGGATTTCTTTCTACCAATTGGTTGCTAACTGAAAGCGCATTGCTATTATAATAATCATTAGTTTACAGCTAAATATTGGTATTGTACACTTAATGAATTCCAACTGAAAGTGTATAGCGGAATATTTTTGCATTTTGTAATTGATATAACGAGCGCTTTTGCGAGAGATGACAACCAGCTTAAATGGTAAAAGTGTTACTCTATTACGAAACTTTATTAATTCAGCTTTTTAGGAGCGCTGCCCTTTTCACGATAAAACTTGATCGGCTTTTTTGAACGTGGAAGGAAAGGCTTTCACTTTTGCGGAAGAGCTCTTTGAATTTTATCCATTCAGGTGCCGCTAGAGATTAAAATCTCTTGGGTGCCGTTACCCTTCGACAAACAGCGTTTGTGCCTGTAGTTTGAACAACCTTATGCAAATGTACTCTCATATTTCTGTCTGTTCTATAAAATTACAGCTACAAAGACAAAGCTCTTCTGATCTTTTAAAAAATTTTCCATATTATACTTTTTGTTATAAACCTGCTGTGCAATAACTAAAACTAGGGAAAAATGGCAGATCACAATACCATTTGAAGAACTTTATACAGGATGCCATCTTAATAAAACCTATCTGGGTAGAAATGTCTCATAGCCTATTTCATAAAAGAAGGTACTTTCTGGCAATCAATGGTGCAGATTTTGTATTTTTGATCCGGCCGTGCTTGAATGCATAGCAATGAAGATAAATGTCTGAGTTGAGTCACAATCGGCCGACATGTCAACCCTTTCTCAATTTCTAACTGACAGATCCACTTTAAAAAGATTGAAAGTGTTATGTAGCCAGAGAGGTTCCATCTTTCCAGAGCATCTTTTCTTGCACAAAAAAAAGAATCATTATCATCATGGAGTAAGGGATCATTATTTAAATGCACTAAGAGTAATAAAATTCCTCTCTTTGCGTTGACGACCCCTGTGGAAAAATCGATCATTGACAAGGAATTGTCTTAGAGAGCATAAGTTTCTTTGTAACATTTTCAATGAAATTATGGCTTAGCAGCTCGTTCTACTTAAATAGTTGTTCTCAACTCTTGTGTAGTCCTGATAGAGTTTCAAGTGGAGTACTCTTTGTGATTGCCCATTGTAAACACTTTCAATACGTGCAAATAATTTTGTCACAGAATTTTGCGGTAGAAGTGAAGAGTATAAAATCTGTGTAAAAACAACACAATTCAATTTTTATGGGAGTTTGACATCTATGATTGCCTTTATTGGATCAAATTGACCATTTCTTCGTTCCATTACTGCTTATTTGGAAAATTTCGCTATGTTTGTAAGTCAGGAGGTTTTGGATATGTTTTTAAAATTGTTCACTTAGCACGCACGCGGTTAATTGAGCTTCGAATTCGTTGCTGTTGAAAATTGCTTGAACGCTTCGCTTTGTGTTGTAAATTACAATGTTATTACATGGATAGTTTGTGTGGTCTGTTATCAACCTCCAGGAAGAATTGTTTTTGTGTCATTTTATGATTTAATTCCAATAAAGAGAAGTAATAAAATTCGCTGTGGACTCCTGAGATTGTATTCTCCAACAACAAAAGAAGGAAACACGGCGGATATTGGATATTTAGGTAGTTTCGCGTGACACAATTTTCTGAGAAAATCCCTGGTTGAAATGCCCTTTTGATTGCAGGTGCAATTCATGTTTCGCAGTTTTAATAACAACACAGATAATAGGATCTTGATAATATTAGAAAAGAAAATTGAAACACTTTCGCCTGAAGCTTACAACTTATAATGCCTTTAACGCTAATATAATAAAGCACAAATTTAGCTGAAGTTTCAAAATAAATCCTTAGGAACGCTTTCTTGTCATTTGTTGATCATGAAAATCCTTTCGCTCTTTATTTTTCTTCTGCATGATAAACGACTGGGCGGTTTTTTCGTGTTTACGTAGCAAAGGCAAGCGCTTGGAGATTTGATATTGTTTTTAAGGAAGTAATTTTCAAAAGCCTCAGCACAAACTTCATCTTTTATGCAAATTTTATAAACGTGAAAATTCAATGAAATATTTATGCTATCGGAAATGTGCGCGGTGATTTTTTTTGTGCAATAACATATAAATTGCAGGTAAGCTTTTTGACCTTCACAAATCTGAGGCTGTGGGCAGAGTAATATAATCTCTACTCAGAGGGCCTTCAAATCATCTTTTGTGCATGAGAAGGGTGAAACAGTTTCAAGAGATCGAAGAAATTCATTATCACGCTATTGTAAACTTTCAGGTCTTTGGCTGAGAACAACGGGAAAAGTCTTATAACCATAGAAGCGTGTCTAACAGAAACATTTCTTCACTCTGCTTCTCGCTCTGGTATCGTAATCTTCATTTGAGGAAAGTGTCTTTTTTCAACTCGTTGAGTAACATTCAACCAGCGCGAAAACAGCTAGTTTGGATGGACCAGAGAAACTACCTATCGAGGACTCTATATACTTGATATCCGTGGGGAACGTTACATGAACAGACAAATTTTTCTTGCTTCAGTGCAACAAGACCTTTAAAAAACGTCGGAAGTCACATGAACGATGCAAGGAAATCTCAGCAACGTATCTAACGATATCCTCGACGCTGATGCAGAGTTTGACGGAAAGATTGTATTTCTGGTGTTCGTGTTGTTGCTTATCCTTGCAACAGTCGTTGGTAATGGCTTCGTATTCATGGCTGTTTACACATTCCGTGAGTTGAGGACGGTGACAAATTACTTCATAGTGGCCCTTGCCGCCGCAGATGTGGCCGTTGCTCTTTTGGCGATGCCGGTATGGCTTGTAAGATCACTTGTTCACATTGAAAGGGAACAAGATAATTATGTGATGGATTTGTGCACCCAATGGATCGATCCATTCTGTTGTACAGCATCCATTGTGAACGCCACGTTAGTTTCCATTGACCGTTATTGTGCCATTAGCAAGCCGCTACGCTACAGAACCATGGTGACACCACTTCGTGCTAAGCGCTCCATTGCCGTGGTTTGGGGATTCGCAGTGGTCATTGCAGGAATCTCCTTTCTGCAATTTCATGAGTCCTACACGGTTATCGAAGGCTATGTTATATTTCTATTCGTGACGCTATTTTGTATTCCCTTAATCACGATGTCGTTTGCGTATATCTCGATCTGCAGGGCAGCCATCCACCAGATTTCTAAGATGCACTCCACACGACTTAGCTCAACGTCTTACGATCAAGACAGGAGGCAGTCGTTTGAACGACGAAAACGCTTCTTCAGAGAACTAAAAATCACCAAAATGCTTGCAGTCATAGTGAGTCTGTTTATAATTTGCTGGAGTCCATTCCTTGTGGTAACTCTCATTGAAGCGTTCACGACTGAGGAAATTCCACTTGCAGTTCAAGGTGTCATCGTCTTTCTTCCCTACGTGCTTTCATGCGCAAACCCTTGGATCTACACTGGAATGAACAGGGATTTTCGTTTGGCCTTTAAAAAGTTTTTTTGTACCTCAAAGATTCTATGCCTTAAACGTTCCAGAGAGCGCAGCGCAAACGAGCGCATGTTAAGGCCACTACCGTCGACCACAGTCGACGAAACCTTCATTTCTAACGGCTTGCGACAAGGGTCCAACTCGATTCGAAAGGTTTCCAGTCGTGGACCAGAAATTACAACTGTTTAGCTTTTGAGATGGACTCAAAGAAAATATCAATTAACTCCTTCATCTCCGATTGTTTTATCGATCGAACTAATGACATTTTAAATATGATTTATAACGCAAAGGATACACTCTTGCCAAAGTTAAATGGATAAGGAGAATAAGCTGATTTTCTCAATTAGAGAGTGACATTGCTCAGTATACTGCTAGAATGATTGCGTTCGCTCACTTTCATTACTTGAGCTGAATGCACCACATTTATATCGAAAGGCGATAAATGTTCTGAATTCAGCTAAAGAAGATTTACGGTCATCTTCGAAAACACGGCAGACGCAACTTAGATCCAAACCCACGTCCATTTACATTAATGACCTGTTTGTCTTATACGATAAAGGATGGAAAATGGGCAGAAATGTCTTTGTAGATGACTGTTTGAAAATAGAAACTTAAAAATAGCTAGTGTTGGTGTCGATTCGTCGGAGTAAGGTTCCTTCAATTAGTGATATATTTGAGATATATGTAGAAATATTGAGGAAAACTGGCTTTTTGTTTATGTTAAAAAGGCAGGCGAAAGCGTATAGATGAATTCAAATTGTAATGAAAGATCATCTTTTCGTCTTCTCGTTCGATATTTTGCAAAACATACAACAAAGGATATTGTTTGGCTCATGTAGATTTTGAACCCACGATTTACGTAACCGAATTAAGGTTGAGAACAAGTCGGGGATTGGTCACTGTCGATGAGAAACAAATACGTTTTTTTGGTGACCGAATGCACCAGAAATTTTTATTGAGGTTTTCTATTGAGCATGAAAAACCTTTGCCATTCACAGGCACACTGCAGCTATGAACATGGGTGATATGAGAGTCTTTTAAAGCGGAACGACTAACGGCCATGTTTAAACGCGTTGAAAATTCAAAGTAGTTAATTTCGTATCAAAAAGAATGAAGGGAATTTCTTCGAAGAAGTATATTTTCCAATAATCAAAACTCTGCGCGGGGGAAATAGAAAGAATTATGAAACGACTGGTGACCGATGGATTTCAGGCTAAAGACAACTGGCAAACAACGAAAAAATCTCATCTTTTACTCTTGCCAAAATGCTGTTTGTCGCAGTCAATCTTGATCATTTTGTTTTGTTTCAGTCGACAGCCATACACAATATACACAGAAAGGTCAGAACTTATAGGCAATTTCGTGTTTTTTCATTTCTTCGCCGCAGCTATCAGAGAAACCAATCCTAACACTGAATCTGATTAGGAACACACTAAGAAAAAAGCTTTCCGAAATTTAAGGATAATACCATGGAAGACATACACCAGAGATGTCATGTGTTACTGTTCTAAATCTGTACCGAAGCATTTTTTGCAGTGACGCTTATGTGCAGATTTATTTGCGATCGTATTTGCATAGCTAAATCTTACAAGAATAAAGATATTTTTTGGAGGCCATTCTAGTATTCATGGACGGCCTATCCAGTTGCCATTCCTAATAAAAATAGATAAATAGATGAGTTACGAACTTGCAGTCTTCGGTCTTAAAAGTTGTAAATATATGAAGATGACATCTGTTTGGTACAAACACCAATCGTTGCATTTGTTCTGTAAAATAAACAAAATTGTTTGGGTTATGAGGGCTGTTTGGGCTGCCATTTGTGTCAATTTGTCTTGAATTTTTCATTCCATTTGAATTAAAATGACATAAAATTAACATTGAGCTCATCTGCTCTGTGCTGCTCATTTTAAAATGGACTTAAAGAGAGGCGGTACACCATACATTTGAAGGAAGTTTTTTTCTATATATTTATATGTTTTCAGCCCCGTTTTCTTTGATACTGTTCAAATAAAACCAAAATAGGAAATCCCAGCAAGGTGTTCCTCTGGTCAAAAGAACCGACAGAAAGTTTATTTACCGGTTCCTAATTTCCCTCACACGTTGTTGACGCACCCGAAAACTGAAAGGTGATTTGCATCGTACGTCGTTGATTGATATTATTTTTTATTATTCTTTTAAAAGTAAAATTTGCTCTTATTCGAGATATTCTGCAATCTGATTTGACTTCACGAAGCAATACTATGAGTTTGAGTCGCAAAAGGGATCTGATAGGTTTAAAAACCAGTAGAAGATGATATGTCATAAATTCAAAACAAGTTCTTCTACCTTTAGTTTCCTTTGATGAGTTGACAATACATAAGCTTCCTAAGGAATTCCTTGGATTATGAAACTTATATGTCACATATACGCATTGATTGCTGCGAAAAATGATTTTTTGTTTCAAGAAAACTTTTCTCATATTAGTCTACTTGTTTGTTTTACGAGGCTCGATCGTTGTAAACTTCAACAGTACATACACTGAGCAAATTGGTTGGAGCAAACTAAACTGGCAGCACTACATACTACGTCCTCGCTATCCCCGAAAAGGCAAACCACTAGCAAATATGTACATTATGGTCAAGTTTATATACATTTTCGAGTTGAATGTTAGGGGAGAAAAATGAAAAAGAAAAGAAATATCTAAGACTGAAAATTTCACGAGAGCAACAGCTTTATTCTTAACACTGTGGACATTCATGAAAACTTTCGGCTTTTTTCTTCCATGTGAAATAGCCAGTTAAAAATGTGAGCAAGAAAAAATCTTATAGTCCTGAAATAATCAATGATGTGCAGAAGGATTTGATTTTTGCCACTGATTTGTTAAACATATCGTCTAAACAGGTAGGAAGATCGAGCTATTGAAATTATACAGTACAATATATACTACGGCAAATAAACGTTATTGGTTTAAGTTTTTGACAGAAAGTGTTTTTCCAACCTGAACGAAGTGCGATTGTAACGTGACACCGGCAACCGAACATTTCCCTCATTTTAAATCTATAAACAAGACATGACTCAGAAACTTTTTCTGTGAAACATGAACCATTCGATGACTTCACATTGCATTTACAACAAGAACGGAATATTCTGTCATGTCTGTCCGTCAAATCGTCAGAATCTGTGGTAGTCAAACTTAAGCATGCTAGCTATCATTTCTCCTGGACGTATAATCACAGAAAGAATCATTTTGAGTATTTCAACATAGACATTTTAAAAGTATCTTTACAAAATTATCGTTAAAATGTAGGGTCAAAAGAACCCTTCTCAGCTAGCTGCTGTGGTAATCAGTTGACGGGAACTCCGATCGGCAGGTCTGATGGTGCACCGGATGAAATTTCCCTTTTGTCCGCATCGTTCGATAAACTTTATTGAAAAGAAAGGCATATGCGACAGTACAAAGTTTATTGAGCACGGAAACGATTTAAGTGATACAAAAGCGTATAAAGTCGCAAGCATTTCAGATAAACAAAAAGCGAGCCCGCGAGAAAAGTGGTATGTGGTAAGTGAAATGTTCTTAGTAAACAATGGTATAGCATAGGTACAGGTGATTCTTGCAAACAAATCACGAGAACCATCTCATGCATGACACGAAGTATTGTCCCGATTCCCTAAACGAACATTTTCTTTAAGTTGCTGACAAGTCTTCCTCGTTAAATCCTGTTGTCAACAAATGTAGTTCGCTATTTACTTATCATTTACAATTTCCTGGATGACCTTCTTCACTGTCCAAGTCAGGTCTTTGCGCTTCGCCTTTTGAGCTTGTTCTAGTGCAAATTTAGTTCTAAGAATCTGGCATACACGACTTTAAACAAAGGAACTTTCCAAGAGGAAAACTTGTCGTATCTATCGAACTTTTCTCTATTTCAGTTATTGCATCACTTTTTTTAATCAAATTGATTTTTTTTCGAATTCTGCACCACTTTTCGTCCCTACGCCCTGTTTGAAATTTTTAGATAGATCCTCTTTAAATTTTCATCCACCTTATCTTCTATTTGTGTTTAGATGGTGAGCAGATGTTTAAAAATTAGAGATTTTACATCCAGACTATTTAAGATTCAAACTAGGGTATGACTTGAAATTTCGAACGACTCACCTCTTAAGATCTCTTAAACAGTTGCACTTTCCAATTTATTGCAACAAGAAGGAGCCGAATTCAGTCGTTTGTAAGCGGCATCCTAGATAGTGCCGGATATTTTCTCACGCTTGCTAAGTACATCGTAAAGTATCTATTTTTTCAAATAATTGTGATCCTATTTTTAACCTCATTTTTCGCTCCGCGTAAAATTAGAGGTTAATTACACCCAAAACCGACACGCAATCTTGACAAGGAATATTTTTTACGATATTCACGAGTGTAACAAATTTAGTTGATCTTGCCTGATTCGTTTGAGGTTTATTCCTTTTGATTAATACTTTGGATCCTTTTGAAACGATATCTTTGGCGTAACTTATCCTTTTATAGACACCACTGATGAAAGAACGATTAAAAAATTCTACTGGTTTAAAAGTATTCCGGTGAACGACCCAAAGTAATTGCTAGGTTGTTCTTCTTTTTTTCGGTTAACACCACAATGCCTTCAGCTATCTGTTTTTTTTTCTTAAGAAGTAACGAATATACTCAAAGTATAAAAATATAATTGAATAGTTAAACTTCATCAGAACTTTCAACTGGTTGAGATGATTACTCGAGTACAGACGAAATTATCTGATTGAATTGTCGCCTGGCTTTTTTTTGGAACAAATCCATTCCGAGAATCTTTAAAATTTAAACTGGACTTCAGGGAAAGTATTTCACCAAACAAAGCTGGTGGTTCGTCGCTGTTTCGTGAAATGATTGATGATGATAGAATGTAAGAGTGCATTAAATTTATGTGTAATTTAGGCTCGTGTAACAAGAAGACTGAAAAATATTATAGTTACTTGGTAGCAGTGTGTTGTCAGTTCTCTAATCGCTTGTTCGCCCACTTCTAACCGTTCCTTTTGCTTATTATTTTTTGTCAGATCTTTGCACTTCGACCAGTAGTTTGCATTATTCAGTTTTGGTAAGTGAAAGCAGGTCGTATAGCTGCACAAAGAAATTTATGTAAAAAAAAACCTCGGAAAAGAAAAATGGCCATTTTAAAAGATTCAACAACTTTACAACTTTTAAACGGGTGTGGCTTTAAAATGAGTTATTTTGATTCGTGATAACGTTTCCTTTGCGGTTCCTTTTGTTATGGTTATCACTTTACTTTTAGCCAACTAATGTCTACAGTGAAAGAGCCGCCGCAAGGTAAACGGACACTAGTTGATGGTGATGCTTTAATTGCTTCCACAGACATCAACTCAACCCCCTGGGTATGATGAATGGCTCGAACATTAACTTTATAAAGACCTCCTTCCTCCCAGAAATGTTGTTCAAGCCATGAAAAAATGAGTTCAAGCATCTAAGCAACTGCGAACCTACCCCTCCCCTAAACCAACAACAGTCAACTGATAACAACTTACGGTTAATGTTGGGCTCAGGGAGGGGTAGGTGCGCTCTTCCTAAGATACCAACTTAATTGCATAGGACTTAAAAGAAGCTTTGTTTGACAAAAGGAAATGACAAGGTTTTTCCGTTTTCTCCCGGTTTGTTAACTCAGGCGCTCGGCCGGAGTTGTTCGAGTTAAATGACAAATGGCTGTCGAAGCTCACGCTGTCTAACTTTCCCCTGTAGGCTTCAAGAACTAGTTGAAAGCATTTGAGAACCCAACTTCTGATTTTTTCGGGGAAAAAGGGGAAAAACCTTAAACCCCAAGGCTAAGATTAACCATTTCTAGCGCCTTAGTAGACGCACATATGCGTGTAGTTTAAATACTGAAAACTTGAAAGAGAATACCGTAAGGCTGGGAGCGTTAGGGTCTATTAGAAACCGCAAAACCGTAAGAAAAATCATCTAAAACCGCAAAAAAATTCGATCAAACCGATCACGCATTCCTCTCAACAACATTTGCGTTTCGCGCCAACTCGTGATCAGTGGAGGCGCACAGCTATCGCACAGATCGAAAAGAAACCAGAACCCAAAGACGAAATACGAAAACCACACTTAATACTAAATCCAAAAACCCGTTAATATTTTTGACGAAAACCGAAAACCAAATGCTAAAAAACGGAAAATCCACAGACCGCAGTGAGCACCAAACCAGAAAATCGTAGTTTTTTGGTACAAAAACCGAAAAACCGATTTAAAAAATAGCCAAAACAGCAAACCGAAAATCCCAATGCCCCCCTCCGTAAAAGTTGTTTTAAGCAACCCACGGCCACTTGCTCCCTTCTGAACCTGTAAGCCTCTGATAAGCCCCCCCGCCTTTTCTTTAACACAGTCCACTAACAGGAGACAGCTCATGTTCTCTTGATTTGAACACACAAAACACTTCACATATGAACTTTGGATATGACTTTGGATATGAAGCCAGCAAGTTTCCTGCAGCTAATTGGCAGAGCATTCAACCAGGATTTTGGGACGAGACAGGGTTCCATTTCTTAAGAGAGACTCAGATTTTTGTTTGTCCAGCTTTCTTGATTATGTGAAAAGTGTTCCACATATTTCTTTACACTTCTGTAGCTCACACGGATCACAAGTGTTTTTAATACAACATTGTATAAAAATTACTACAATCATAATTTAGTCATTATTCAGAAATATTATTTTCAGAAGCTACACAGCCAATTTGCCCTTCAGGAGGTGGGAAACCCAACAATTCACAACAAAAGAGAACTAAACAGCTTGCTAAAAACTTCTCTACACTTGAAATGAAGTCAGTTGATGTAAAACTTTTAAGATAGCAAAGGTCTGATGGAAGCTTCTTGTTCAAGTCTCCATTACATACTTCAGAAGTCCCACACTTATGCTGTATTCCACCAAGCAATGAACAACAACCACAGAGAAAAAGAAAACTCCAAAGTCCTTTATGGCAACCAGAAGAGCAGTAAAAAGAAAATTGATTCTGTGGGTAAATTCTATTGGAATTCCACAAAGTTGCAATGCAACAGTGAGCAAGGAAATATAAGCTGAGTTGGATGTCTGGAAAAAGAAAAAAAAAACAGAAATTTATTTAATGGACGGAACCTTAACATACAAATGTAACATGATACATATGTAAGGATTGCACTTAGCGCACATGTGGTGCATGCAAAAATAAAATTCAAATGTTGCCTGTTTGGAATATTACATAATAATCATGATTTAACTTTGTGTCATGTAATAGTATAAACTCTTTTGATTTTGAGATCACATATATGATTTTAGTCCACACCACATTCAATTCACAAATAGAGGGAATAAGTTTCTAAAGAAACTGTAGTGTGGGTATAAAAAGATCATTTGGATTTATCAACTGAGTTGATAATGTAAATTGACTGATGTTTGGAGTGTAAGCCCTTCATCATACACAATGACATTCAACTCAGTTTGGTTAGCATGATTATACATTGTAGGTGTTTCTCCACATAAAATGAAGTATTCCGTCACAGCACAAAAAATTAATGTTTGTACTATACAAGTAACTTACCTGTCGGAAGCTTGGTACACAAACAAACAGTAACTGTAAAGCTAGGAATGGCCATATCATGGACTGAAATGAAATAAAAAGATTTTAAACAAAAATGGCCTACAGTTTCAAGTAATTTTAGAATTGACTCAAACCTTTTCATGCACACTCAACACATTTCAATTATGCAAACTCAAAATAAAAAGAAAACAAATTTATATGTGAACAGATAAATAAATAGATAGCTTATTGATTAACTGAATAAATCAGAAATATTAAGTAAGCTGAGCTCTCAAGTTAATCAACAGTTATCAAAATGGGCCACATAGAATTCTCTATCCATTTATGTGATTGGAGGTGGATATCAAGACAAACCTCATGTCCCACTTTGAGTTTGAGGGTGAAATGTTTCATTCAGGGAGAGACTTATCAAATCTACCATTACAGGCATGATGATGTCCATGTACAATGTCATGTATTTGGTAGCCCTGGAATTCAACAACTGAACCTATAGTAAAGGAAACCTACAAATAGAGCGCTTAAAAATCCACACTGGCAAAAGGCGGACCAGTTAGCTATTTACATAGTGCAGCAGCAGTGAAGTTGAACTCAGGGTGACAAAGAACAAATCCATTGAGTCCCAGAATAGAGGACTTGAACCTGCCACCACCAGCTTACGAGTCCAGCGCCCTTACCACTTGGCTACACTGCCTCCTTTGTATTGGTACAGTGCTTTCAATAAGATTTGAAGAGGGTGGCTACCTCAGTAAAGCACCCACCAGAGAATATCATAAAATAACAATTTCCCTCTTGCTATCCCATTACTTCTGTTCAGAATAAACTGGCCTCAAATAGAGTTTTCAGTGTTAAACTTTGTAGGTGATCATTAAATATTCATATCCTTTATAAAAACTGTTTAACTAGCCGATCTTGAGGTGTTTTAGGTCTCACTTTGTGAGTTTGCTCAAAAGCTTCCAAAGTAAACCTGGCAATTCACAACAGAATACCTGCCAAAGCTTTGGAAGGTGTCAGGTCTAATTGAGACCACTCTGATATGGTATAGAGTGTATGGGTTGATGAAATCACAGCAAGAGTAAAGTGTCTTGCCCATGAACACAACACAATGACCCACACAAGGCTCAAACTCTGGCCTCTCAATCTGGAGTCCACCAGTTCTACCACGTCTCTTACAAATTAGTTCAATAAACAGCTTTATGTCAGACCCTTCAAAAAGCAAGGATGGAGAGCACAACTAATAGTCATGGCGCCCTTGACCACCACAAGTACCTTTTATTTTGACCACCACAAGTACCTTTTATTTTGACCACCACAAGTACCTTTCATTTTGACCACCACAAGTACCTTTCATTTTGACCACCACAAGTACCTTTCATTTTGACCACCACAAGTACCTTTTATTTTTAAGTTCACCTCCCATGTAAGTGAGAATTGTTTTTTGAACTTAACAAAGAAACAAGCTATGAAATTGACAAGGTAAGAAAGTAAGAGTACAAACAAGATAAAAGCTTTGTCATCAAGTTTCATGTTTTCGATTTTCATCGGCTTTCATCAAAAGTATTAAAGTCTCTTATTACAATGAGCAATCTGCACAAAATAAATGAGTTATAACACAGGTTTTTTGAAGAGTATCTTTAGTGGATCTTATCATCTCTGTTTTTTTCCTGCTTATAGTTTTAAAACTATATTGAAAGTTTTAAAAATTATCATATTACCCGCACCTTCCCATAACCTGCACCAACAACTGTTTGTGGAAAAATTAACAGATTACCCATGGGTAATCAGCCAGAAATTACAGTACGTCACTTACAGGAGATCAATGGAAGAAAGTCTCAGATATCTTTAACTCTTTCACCCCTAGGAGTGGCTGGCATCTACCGGTGATTTCACCTTACGTTATCACTGATTAATCACACATTAAGGTCGCAAGAATAAAGAGAATGATCAATATCTGAAGGAAATATTGATTGTAAACACATTCTCCTTGTCAGTACCATGCAAAATGTATAGGTAAGGGTGAGGAGAATATGCATGCTGATTTTACACAGTAGTATTCCCTTCCAAAATGCACTCTTCCACCATATCTGGCTCCAAGGATAAGTGTAGTACAAATAATCAAGAAAATGGTAGGTATATTAAACAATTATTCTACAAGCTCTCATTGGATATGAGATGGTAAATGGCCAACCAGGCTATAATCATCTCACATCCAACACGCCTGAGTGGAATAATTGTTTCATTAAAAACATTCCAACATGTAGATAAATCTTCCCAACGTTGTTTTGCAAATTTCTTTTTTTTGACATGTTCACTTACCATATTACCACATTTGTAAAGCAGAGTATAATGGCTGATAACCCATGATGACTAGGCAGATATCATGACATCATCATACTTAAGGCTTCTTACCTCTGACTGGACCAAAACAGCCTCATTAGAAACATCATTGCGGATGTTCTCACCATTGATTGAGAATAAAACCTCTAAGTTCACATAAGTCCACCTGATCACCAAAGAGAAAGCCAGTATGACAACAAAAACAGTTCGAGTCCAAATTGCAGTACTGAAGCTGGAAGATTCATCACTGTGTGTCTCGTTAACAGCTGCTGTTGAAGGAAAAGTGTTATGTGATCGCGATCGAGTTGATGTAACTTTAGGTAGACGTTTTACCTCGTTGTCTAAAAAGGAATTTTCGTTAGCTTCTGAGTCCTGCGATCCACAGGTATTTCCCTCCGCTGGATACATATCGGAAATTTGGTCTCCTTGGTTTTTTTCCACTGGCAATTTCTTAATTTCTCCAGTTGTATAATCACTTTCTTTTGTATCGACTGACAGTATATTCTTGCAGGAATTATCTGCATTTCCCACGGAAGAAGAATTGGAAATGTTTCCATCTACAACAAGATTAGACTTTGAATTATCAGGATGGCTTGAACGACTGCCTAGAATTCTCTGAAGGCGACTCTCAGAATTTTCCAGTACTTTTTTTCTTCTCTGTGCACGGCGCTCGGCGGCAGACATTTTGGATAAGATAACTTCCTCCCTAGTCCTCCCCTACATTAGCTACCGTGGCAATCTGGACTAAACTTGTCGACACTCTCTACGAATAAGTACTTCATTTAAGCTCACACAAAGTGATAAACAATCATAGAGAATATATATATGGGCGAGTAGATATGGAATTTCTCTTCGATTGCTTAGCTCACGAGTGAGATGTCGAGTTGAACACGAGAGGAGAAATTCCATATCTACAAGCAACCATGTATTATTTTGTTTATCATATAAACACAATAGCCCTTTACTCGCAGGAAGAACCGACTTCATTAATGAATGAAAATAAATGAATCGACAATCTCTAAATAACAATCGTGGAGTGCGTTGGCGCTAACTCTTAGGATGGAAAAATGCGTTGAATCACGATTACAAAAACAACGATGATCGTAATTTTCAATTTACAAAATTCTCATTTATTGACTTTGTCCTTACCGACAGAAGAAGTCTGTCAGGTAAACGGCCAAAATCGGCCAGTGGCAAATCTTCAAGTTGTCGATTTTCATTCTCAGCCGCGAGAAATCTCAATACCAGAGCCACTGAATACGTAACTTCGGTTTTTCTTTTTTTTTTATTGGTTTTTTCCCCTTCCAAAAAAGTTTGAAAAGCCGTAACAACACACGTGAAAAAAAAACGATATTTTTTCACCTGTGTTTGATATCGCCAATCAGCTGCTGACACGTCACTCGCCTTTCGCGCCACTCGGTCAAGTTGATGAATGAAGGGCAAAGCTTTTTCACCATTCTCAATCCAAGGTCGTTTGTCAGAATTTTTACGGATTATGGCTGCTAAAACACTGAAAAATCCGTATCGCTTTAAGACAGTGACTTTCAAACGTTCCTAGTAGGGGAAGAAAACCAAAGTAAGGAAAGAAAAACCGAAAGTTACGTATTCAGTGGCTTTGGTAATGGTATTTCTCGCGGCTGAGAACGAAAATCGACAATTGGAAGATTCGCCACAGGCCGATTTTGG